AGCGTTTTTACTTTTATATATAAGATCTGCACCAATGCCCCTAATATTTTTTTTCTTGCTTAAAACTTCTTAGTGTTTCACTTTACTTTGCACGAAATTCCCTTTTCCGTTAAAGGTTAATGTCGTTAACTATAGATGAGATTTTATGCATTCTTTTCATAACGGAGGGGGATTTAGTGCATATTTTTTAAAATACAAGGGGATTGTACGCGAAATTAATTTATTCGTTTAAAGTTCATCTTATTTTCTTAAATTAATTCGAACACATTTATTCAGTTATGATATGAAAATAGTCCCGCAAGGGATGGCCTAGCGGTTGGAGCAAGTGAGCATGTACCAATTGACTCATGTTCGATTCTCCTTGCCAACGGTCGTTAGGTTGAGCTTGTCACACATGGTTAGCCTCGTGTGGTTTACATCTCCCTTATGGTTTGTAAGCTACTATACGAGAGTGTAGGTTTGCCCAATGCACCTATATGATTGGCTGCGGATTCCTTCATTACCAAAAAATATAATATGAAAAATATAAATTTAATGGGTGAGGTGAATGTTTTTTTTAAATAAATTTTATATGATATAATTTATTAATGTATTTAAAAATTTGATTTTTAAAAATATAAATTATTTAATTTGAATTATTATATATTTTTATAATTTATTCTAGATTAATTATTTGTGAATAGAACATAAATAATTTGAAAATTCGTTCCAACTTTCATCTCGAACATTATTTTTTTATTTTAAATAATTAGATGTATTCGACTTAATTTAAAAAAATAATTTGAAATTTAAATGAATAATTTAATTTTGCGTAGACCCTCTTGTGTTGCAAAACCATGCACCAAATCCCCCTATATTACAAAATTCTTGCATAAAATCCCCTTTATTGTTAACGGTGTTAACTATTAACAGCAATGAGAATTTCAGCCCGCATGGGTGTAGCTCAACTGGTTCCGGAGGTGGTAACACTAGGCCAAAACACGACACTGGCGACGAAAATTTGCGACGAAAATGACTCATTTGCGACGAAAATTGCATGTTTGCGACGCAAAATATTCGTCGCAATGATGGTCCAAAATCGT